GTAAAGAAACTTATTATTGACAATATATGAATGAAATTTCGTAAAGTATTCAACATACATATTCTTATAGCTACCCGTTTATAAGGCGAAAATAGCCCAAAACTTCGGTGCAAAAAAGTACTTTTAAAAGTCGACATAATCCAATAATCTTGTACGAATTGATGTTTTCAAAGCTAATTAATATTTTCGCTGAATAATCTAGCTTACACCGTTTTACATCATACAAAGCTGTGGAATTTTTGTACACTTAATATTTCATTTCGTAAGATTGATTTTTCACTTCAAACTTTTAGCTATTTTCACTTTGCAACAACTTGAACAGACAGATGTAAAGCTGTACGTTGTGAATATAGTATTTTGATGCACTTTCTATGTATCAAGTTTCATTACAATCGACACGTATGAGTTTGTCGATGATCCTGACGTAGAAAAGTACAGAAGTTACTGAATGCACAGGAGTGGTGCTGCAACTTCTCAATTAGGAGTATCGAATCTTTTTTATCTCTTTCGCAGAGTTATCTTGTACTTCGAAGTTCAATATATATACCATTCCACACATGAAACATTGCCCAGTGTTATTTTTTAGCACTTCTTTCAAAGATTTCCATACAGTACAAATGCATGAATTAATCATACAATGATATTGAAGACATTAATACTGTGGCTAAAAGGAAAAACGCCGTAAGTCATAATTTCAAAAAATTTAAGTTAATGCATTAATCGAACTGAAGCATATAGGATTTACGTATTTATCAGAAAATACATCGTGAAAACAAATTCCATAGATTGAAAAAAATTGTGCAATTTGGGACACTCCTAATACGAAGCGTTAGGTGATCAGAACTTTAAGCGACATTATCTCGGAATTGAAAACATGTGACGTACGGCGTTCTTCCTTGCAGCCACAGAATTATTCAGATTACAAAATTAAATATTTAAGAAGCACAACGCGTATGTCACAATTTTCTATGCTGAAACTTTTCCAGTACCATCGATTAACCTTCCGTCTACTATGCCGGAGTCACGGCGAGCAAGAGTGGGGAGGACCGCAAATATGCATTAGTAGAATATCAGTGTGGATCAGAAATGACTCTGGCACAGGAGACGGCGCTTCAGTAATCAGAGGGTTAAAGAGTAAAATTGTGGATTTGACACGATGTACAGTGGCCTACAAAAGTTTTCACACACCTTTTAAAACGCAATAACTTTTTTCAAACTGAACTATGTGACTTGAATTTTTCTTACACGATAGCGGAACTGATTTACTAGACGATAACGAAAATGCCTTTTTTAAATTTTGCTATTGCTTAGAATAACAAAAGAGAAGAGAGTTTTTTTAGTTTTCTTATCATTCCAAATAATAGCAAAATTTAAAAAAGGCATTTTCTAGTTTTATCTTGGATTTATCTAATCTAAATAACTTCCATTAAATTCAATAAAATTTATTCAATATGTTATGAAAAACGTGCATAAAATGAATTCGACCATTTTCATGTAAAGTATGAAATATTCGGAGTACAACACCTATATGATACATAGGTTATTGGCTTTACATTACTTACAATCGTATTGCCAGAATCATATTGACGTAAATCAAAGTTTCGAAAATGTTGAATAATGTCTTAAAATATAATCTATACATACCAAAATGTTAAAAAGACAAGTGAAATAAATTATAAAGTTACTACAAATTGACTTAACTCAAAATTATCTTAACAAATAAATTTGGTCAGTAAGCAATTTGCATGTTAGTAAACAAGAGCGCTCATTGTTTCTCGCAATGGAGGAAAATGTGATTTTCGCTACTATGATTCGAAGCCACTTAAATATTAGCGGTACCCATAAGTAATGTCGTGTTGCCACTGCTGATGACGCAGATGATTGTAAGAATAATTGTAATAATAATAAGAATAAATCAAATTAGAACTAGAGTATTGTGGTAGGATGTAACAGTAGACATCAAATTAAGTTTTTGAACGCGGAAAACGTTATTTTTCTAATAATTACAGTAAATTCCTCCTAATTGACGTTCAGATTGTACACAAAAATGGACAATTTGAAGATACGATTATTCGGATATACGAAGGAGATACGTTTATTCGAGTCTTGCGGCACGTTTTTATAGTTACCGATTGTCAATAACATTATTTACTGTATTAAGTCATTTCTCACGCCACCTTCTGTCCGATAAATACATCCTGGGTATGGCAGCGTCGATAGCGTTTGGCTTTGCAAATTTCACAGCCGGGTGTCTCAAATATCGAAAGCACGAAAGCATCTTAGCATTGGAGGAGAAACCGGCAGGATGAGAGAGGCGAAGGTGGAAATGGTAGAAACGGGAAACGGTCAGTTCCATTTCCATCGTTGGAGGTTCTCGCGCCCCTCGGTTCGGACGCCTAGCTCCGCGTTGAAATATTACCGCAATACCGTGCGGGCTAGGACCGTAAAGAAAAGTAAACGTGAAATCCAATCGACCAATCCTATTTTCTCGCTTCTGTTTGCAGATTACCTCGATCGAGCGGAAGGAGAACGACGGGCCAGCTTGGGCGTCGCGTCGCGTCGCGTCGCGGCTTCGCTGATTTATTCGCCGGGCGTGCGGAATGAAAACAGCGCGGCGCGGCATGAAAGGCGCAGGCAAATTACCGGATCGAGCCTGACCGTGTTAATCGGCTTTTCGCAACGAGTTCTCACCTGGCGGTGGAACGAGTCCCCGTTAAATTGGGATTGCCAGGTCGACGAACAAAGCGAACAGAAAGAAAACCCGGAGCAGGAAAAAAGGAAGGAGGCGATGCGATGGGAGGAACGGAGACGGCTCGAGCGATGAGCGGAACCACGCAGCCGCGACTTGCATCGGGAATACTTATTCCGGAAATCCGGTTTGTCGGAACGAAGCCTTGAAATTGCCATCCACTTCTTTGCCGGTCGCGTACCCGACTGCCGCACCCGCGCCCCCGCCAAGAAAAGATGGGGTAGCAGGAACCCGCCGGTGGCTTTACATTCATCTGCTGCGAAAGAAAGTTTAAGCGACTTATGGAGACACTCTTGAAATTCACTCCGCGCCGTTCCTTAAGTTTCTATTTTACCGGCGACAGAGGAAAAAGGACCTAGAAGTGCTCCGGTGACTTCCTCGAATTTGATTGATCGATACGCGTGCATCCTCCGTGAGAAGACACCGGCCCTGTCGCCTAAAATTATTGTCGAGACTATAAATATAACTAGAACGGTGGGTCCGGGCTGATCAGGGCCGCGATCGCGCCAATATTATGCTCCGGCATAATAGCGGACTCTTCAATAATACTCGACGTTATTCAGCCGCGACGCGCATAAATATTTCTTAAGCGTACGCGTCCCTTAAGGAGGTAATATCCCAAGGGCGAGGACCGTGTCCACGGAAAACCGCCCCGAAGAGAAACTAATATCCCGGCGAATATCTCAAACATCGATTTTATCTAGAGAATTCTGGGACGCGTTCCAGTGCGGACGGGGCATGGCAGTCCACTAGAAAAATGACGGGAGCGCCCGATCCTGGGAAATCCTCTCGCGATCCGGACCCGTCGAACGACCGTTTTCTACGAGGATAATAAAAATCGACAGTGACTGCGATCGGGGTGTCGATTCCCCGACAACGGCCCTCTGTCTTCGCGCGGCGAAATTTTCCGCGAAAATGCCGGACCGTGTCCGTGTCCGCGCCCGCGCCCGCGCCCAACATTCCCGTGTAAACCGTTCGTAATTTGTCAGCGCTGGACTCGTCCAATGGAGTGTTTCGAACCGAGACTCGGCTGCACTGGAAAATCTGATAACCGGAGAACTGGTGTGGACGTGGTAGGGTCGGCTCGAATGGATTCCCACAGATCTCGAAGATGGTCGCGAAGAAAACTGTTGAAGAAAGAACTGTCCAACGTCGACGTTGACGTAACGGCTCGGTTAATATTCGGGGCTGCGTGAGGTATGAATCGGTGCTAAACGGCGGAGAGAACCGGAGAAGGTGCTCGGGAACGTTCCAATTCGAACAAGTTCGATTTATTCGGCGCGAGCTGCACGAATAACGCGAGACTAGCCGGCGAGGACAGGAACCCGGGGATAGATCCAAGGTCCGAGCTTATCTGTCGATTTTTCTTCTCGGCCGTCGGTGATCGAGCCGAGAAATGCGAACGACCGACTGCGCTAAGATACCGTTCGACAAATGTGAGTCAGAGGACAGAACCAGGTGATCCGGCAGGACGGGAAAAAAGAGGATGGAGAAGGACAACGCGAGACATTACAGGGCTTACGAGGGCTTCAAGCCCGCGAATAATGGCAATACGTCGTCCTTGAAGAGGTCCACGTCGGACCGCTCGAAAACGCATCCATCGAGACAAGTGAGGTGTCTCTGCTTCGGCGGAGTGCCGGACAAGGCTAGCCAACACTCCTTCCTGAAAGGTTTTATTATAAACCTAGGGATATGCGCCCTCCTCGTGGGCTATACTCTGCTAGGTAGCTTTATCTTCCTCGCCATTGAAAGCGGCGCCGAGGTTGGGATACAACAAAGGACACTTGCTACCACAATAGCGCGGGGCCAACCCACCAGACGGAACTCAACAGCTTGGATGAATCAGGTGAGTGTATCCACCTGCTGATTTTTCCTCCGAATTTTTCTTTTAATGTTTTCCAGTATCTTATCGATTCAGACACTTTTCGGTCTACTGATTCCACTAACTGGAATTTTCATCTGTGCTTTCCTCGGTAGAAAGTGCTCGATGGTTATTGCGATGGTTATTATTCTATTATTCGGGCGCTCGTTTACCTCGCGGATAAAATATTGTGGATACAATAACATGCACAAGAATCCAGATACCTAACGAATTCAGAGAAATAGCGTACTAGAGCTGCAACAATCTCAGCATCTTTGTAAATAAAGCTAATATTAGCAGAGCGTTTTTATAAAGACTACGAAACTTAATCAATATATAGAGGGCAACGATAATATTATACTTTAAATATTAATATTTAAAGTATAATATTATCGTTATACTTTATATATATATATATACTGTCTCTTATACACATCTAGATGTGTATAAGAGACAGTATATATATATATATAAAGTATAATATGCCTGTCTCTTATACACATCTAGATGTGTATAAGAGACAGTATATATATATATATAAAGTATAATATGCCTGTCTCTTATACACATCTAGATGTGTATAAGAGACAGTATATATATATATATAAAGTATAATATGCCTGTCTCTTATACACATCTAGATGTGTATAAGAGACAGTATATATATATATATAAAGTATAATATGCCTGTCTCTTATACACATCTAGATGTGTATAAGAGACAGTATATATATATATATAAAGTATAATATGCCTGTCTCTTATACACATCTAGATGTGTATAAGAGACAGTATATATATATATATAAAGTATAATATGCCTGTCTCTTATACACATCTAGATGTGTATAAGAGACAGTATATATATATATATAAAGTATAATATGCCTGTCTCTTATACACATCTAGATGTGTATAAGAGACAGTATATATATATATATAAAGTATAATATGCCTGTCTCTTATACACATCTAGATGTGTATAAGAGACAGTATATATATATATATAAAGTATAATATGCCTGTCTCTTATACACATCTAGATGTGTATAAGAGACAGTATATATATATATATAAAGTATAATATGCCTGTCTCTTATACACATCTAGATGTGTATAAGAGACAGTATATATATATATATAAAGTATAACGATAATATTATACTTTAAATATTAATATTTAAAGTATAATATTATCGTTATACTTTATATATATATACACTAGCCGCTCCAATATTTGAAAGCATATTATACTTTATATATATATATATATATATACACTAGTCGCTCCAATATTTAAAAACATATTATACTTTAAATATTGAAGCGGCTAGTTTGCTAGACAATGAGTAAAAGTTGCAATTAGTTGAAATGACAACAAAATCATGTTTTTTTAACTTTTTTATCTGAGCATATAATAAAAATTTGAACGATCCGCAACTTTTGCAGAAATTTATTGAAATATTGTCCAATGAACTAGTCAGTCTAATATCTGTAAATAATTCAAGTCACTTGGCCCTATATTAAAAAAGTTATCGTATTTTTAAAGATTTTCATGGTATCATCGTTACTCACTCTAACTATCTAAATTTATTTTTAGAAGTTCCTAACAATTTTATTTAATAATACAAATAAAGTCCATAATTTTCAATTATCTATATTGTGAGGCTGAAACTTATTCAAACTACGTACAATCTATACTCTATTGTATAATGTTACTGTCATAATATAAAATAATTCGATTCGCCCGATACAATACAATTCATGAAATATTGTTGGTAGACTGTGGATCTTCGTGTAAAATAAAAACCATGTGTATCGGTTGCAAGAAATAAGAGCCCACTCAAAAAAACTCGTCGCTTCATTTAATAATTTTAATGAGTTGAAGATAATATTTCGATACTCTTCAATTTCTTTAATTTCAATACTGTTTTAAATTTTATTGAAATTTTATTTACGAATTCTATGATTTTTAAGTTAGAATTTTCCAATTTCTCCCAATTTATAGTTGGACCTACAAACATGATTACTCAACACATATTTCTATAAATACGCCTTATGCTTAATTTATAAAATGGATTACAATTGAAGGAGAATCGATGTGCATCTTTTAACATTATTTTTAACGCATTGGTCATAAAAATGTAAATAACAATTCGTGTAGACAAATGCTTGAAAAACATTACTTAAATAGAAAAGTTGAGATTATGGTACTTTATCGAAGGTACGACACTTTATCGAATTTATATGCGAAACTAATGCAATAGAGAACAATATTACAACCTCAATTTGCAGTAATATCAATTCATGTTTTCCACAAATGCATGAATGCCAGAAATGTACATTTCCTGCGCTATTAATGCGCTTTAAATTCCCTATATTTGCAGTAATAAATGCGGCATTTCCATAATCTTATTTTCATTTCAATGGCGGTCAAAATGAAAACAAAGCAAACATGTCAACATCATCGTAATCAAATTTCAATTGCTGGCATAAGCGAATGATTTGGTTTTCATTGTTTCGTGTGTGCGCCTATATCCGCACTCTTTTCATTGGGACAATTATTTCGTGAGATACAGTCGTTCGATGAGAAAATATTTCATTAAATAGGATCGTGGAAGTACGTAACAACTCCCAATGAAATCCGTTAATGAAAACAAGCTGAAATATAAATACAATCTGCAGTTATTAAGATAGTATTTCGATTCGTTTTTCATTATATCGGAAAATCAAAAGATGGCAAGAGTATGGTTTGATTAATTTATTGAAACGTGAGTTTTAAGATATCTGTTACAGAAACTAACGAGTTCCAGATGTAATAAACAAAATGTGATCTTTCTGCAATTACGTTTTATGCTATTCACATAAATAGATTCATTTCACGCTACTTATTAACACTTTGACTGCCACGCCAAGAACCCTAAAAATTTCATAAAATAAATTAATTAAATTAATTTTAAAAAAATTAATTAATTTTAAAAATTGCAAAGTAAAGTTGTACGACATCAATTACTTTTTCAATATTCTTAATAATATTAATCGAATTAGAAAATTATAATAGATAAGCGTAAAAATTAATTTTTAAATTTGCTGTGCTGAGAGAAATCTAGAAATCTTTTTCTACGTGATAATCGTAAACGAAATTATCAGATAATGTTACTGAAGACGAATGATGGTGCACGATTGAAGTAGTTGTTAACTGTAAATTATAGACATTTGACAATTATAAAATCATCGCCCGTAGATAAACTTCTGATTATTATATCAATTTAAGCGAATCCCAATTTGTTATAATACCTTTACTTTTACTTGGTTATCCTCTCAACTTCCACTGAATTCAGAGACAATCGAATTGCCGTTAACGTTCGTTTCAATGAAGTTTTATCGATCAAGTGTCCCATTCGCTTTCTTCCTTTCTTAAAGTGAAACCCGTTCTGTAAGGACTCCTATGCTGCAAGGATATTTCCGCTTTCACGATGTTATTCACGGCCACTGCTCTTAAATTGCCTGAGCCTGACGATGAACTCCTTTAACTGTTTATACCGTACGTTAGAGACGCAATTGAAGACTGCATTGACAGTACATGCAGTGACGGTCGTATTAGTTAGAAACGACTGAAAAACGGTATAACTTTTCTAAAACAGCACTAAAGAACTTGAATTCTCTTTTAGATGATAGAAGGACTAGTTTATTAAACAATGATCGAAATGCATTTTTTAAATTTTACTAATGCTTGAAATGACACAAAAGAAATAAAAAAAACTGGTTTTCAACTTTTTTATCTGAGCCTATAACGAAAATTTGAAGTTACATGTATCCTGTAAATGTCATCGGAATCGGTTGACGTTGTTACGAGTTACAAACAATTAAATATCGTCAAAATTGCAGTTTTTTCGGATTTCAACCAAAAACACGTAATTTTTATATCTTTCAGCGTCTGTAGCTTAACTATATGTCAGCTTATTTTAACGACATTTTCAGTATACATATAAGTTATCAAGATCAACAAAACGCACGTTTTAATTTTCGTTATAACCGCGGATAAAAAATTGAAAACGTGAGTATTTTAATTTTCATTTTGTCATTCCATATAATAGCAATATTAAAAAGAAGTATTTTTGTGTCATTCACTAACAGACTAGTTCTTTTATCATCTAGAAGAAATTTCAATCATTTAATTCAGTTTTTTTTTAAATTATACCGTTTTTCAAGCGTTTCCAAGTATATGGCTACCACTATTTTTTTACTATTGAGTTAGCCAAAAAATTCGTGCGGTTTTTAACAAGTAAATACAAAGCTTTTTTTATATAAAGAAATGATTTTTATCCAATTATGTATTGGCCATGTGAAATTTAATTATTGTTTGAATTGTTGTTATATACGATCTCACCCCATCTTTTAGATCATTTAATAATACTCCACTACATAGGTGTAACCTGGATATCGACGTGGTTTCTGGCAGTTTGTTGCTTTGCCTCCATAACCTTTTACGTTCAATATTGTTGTAGACAATCACTTTTCATCGCCCGCCACCATCCGTTCTAAAAATGGATCTCCATTCTTCACGTTTCTTGAGAAAATCACAAATGGAGATTCGTTCCATAGGATTTGCTTCGCTTAATTAATGCGGAACCCAAACATCAAGTCGGCTAACATAAAGAAGTCGATGCTAATGATTTTCTACTGTTGTTTTTTATATTTGAATCTCTCGTGAAAGTTCTCATGTTGTTAAGTACTTTATTGCAATATTAAAATCGAAATATCTCCCAAAGTAATAGTTTATCGACATGAATAGGTTATTACATTTTTATTCAGAATTCCATCTCAAATCGTGCATAAAAAAATACAAATGATTCCATTTAAAAAAGAACAATGATGATCTTTTCTTCGTGTATCATTCAAGAGTACACATTGCATAAAACAGCGACCCTGGATTACATCCCTTTCTAAACATAAAACGTTTCGTAGAAAATATTTTTTCATATAACGAATAGTTCTCGAGATAATCGCATGCAGTGATTAAAATGAGACTTCCTACATATACATGTGTAGAGTGTTTATTTGATCCTGCACATTGAAATATCTTCCTTACTTTTGTTGATGTTAAAAAAATGTGTCAGGACACGAAGAAGATGTTAACACCAGTTAATGTGTCCCATCATACCAAAGAGCTTTTGTAAGAATATTTTTTTCATAACTTAAAATCTTCCTGAGATATTCCGCATTTACACTTAAACGTGGCACCCTTTATATAAAGGCATATTCATGTCTGTGGCAATGTTCGTTAAAAACAACACTGCGGTGTCCGCAGTCTGAAATGAAATATAGACAGCATTGCTGCTGCTAGCTCGGATGCTTTTTTAGTGCTTCTTCCTCTTTATACTTTTATACCATTCGTTATTTTTGCACGTATAATTGAGTTTCTACCTATATACCTCCACTATACTCTTCCAAATGTAAATTAAAATTCAATTGTCGCGAACAATTCTTATTTTTCTTTGAAATGTCAATCCTCAGAACATTGTTCTATCCAAATAGTTAATTTTATAATGCAAAGCTTCGCACTTTTGAAAATTTTTAACTTTTAACTTTTTAAGCTTCTATATGAGGTATTCTTATTTAAATAATATTCGATAGTAGAGCTGTTACAACTTTTTAACGTTCTATTTTTTATAAACTATGCGGTTAACTGTACTACGAATTTTATAGCTATAGAGATCTTACTTCTCGTTGAAGGTATAAATAATATACTAGAGATTACACAACAAAGCCAAGTATTAATAATAAATAATCTGCAAATTTTATAAAATTTTCACATGAATAAATATCTGTAATTTGAAGCACTAGAAAGATTAAAAGCATTTCATAATATCGGTATATTTCTTGCAATATACTAAAATTATTAAAGATGAAATAAAACTTTCAAGTGATTACTGTTTTTTCGCCATCGATGCAAAAAACTTTTATGTTGGATCGACGCAAAAATTTTTTATTTGCACGAAGATCTATAGTCTAAATAATAAAACTTTTCCTTTTTCCGCCATAAACAAACAACTCCATTTTTCATAATTTCTAAATAAATTGTAGGCATTCTATTAGTTCATTATTTCTTGAATTATTTTACTTCAAAATTTTGCTATTATTATTTAAAAGGAATAATTTTTGTCAACAAAAGAAAGAAAATGATATTACTCTAACCAAATCTTTATTTTTTTTTAAATCTTTTTTAATCTTTATAATAGTTTTATAACCAAATCTCTTACTTCATAAGAGATAGTCATAAAAAGGAAATTTCTACCTCAAAATTGATAGTAAATTCAATTGCGAAAACAATCTTTCGATGTTCTTGGAGAATTTCAAATAAAAACGTGTCTTATTTTTTCATCTTCTACAAGGTGTCCCAAAAGTTACACAAGATCGGGAAATGAGGGGTTCCTGAAGTCATTTGAAGTAACTTTTTCCTCAGCGCAAATGCAATCCGTGGTTTTGTTTATGAGTTATTAACGAAAAACAGTAACCAATGAGAAGCGAGATCAGCTAGTGCAAGTCAGCTGAACCAATGAGCGGACGAAGCTTAGTTTCGCTTATTGGCTCGGCCACCTCGTGCTAGCTGATCTTGCTTCTTATTGGTCACTGTTTTACGATAATAACTCGAAAACGAAGCCGTGGATTGCATTTGCGCTAAGGAAAAAGTTATTTCAAATGACCTCAGGAATCCTTAATTTCCCGATTTTGAGTAACTTTTGAGACTCTCTGTATATTATGAGCTCTTTGTCAAGAGACATGTAACTCCTACCACTATTCAGCCGGTTCTCCCACTCGTCGCGCTATAAGTTTATTATTTTATACACTCAGACCAGGGAAAATGTTATTTCTAATGAAAACAAGAAATAGCTACATGAAATAATTCATATCAAACCGTTAATTACAATATTGTTATTTGAAAATGAAAAAGTAATATTGATTCATTTGAAATAATAGCAATTTCAAATAATGAATTATTTTGCTAATTTTTAATAATTCAAAAGTCATGATGCCAAATATGACGAAAAAATAATCCTTAAACTAATAAGCAACAAAAAGATTTTAATTTATGAAATCTTTACTGAAATTTGCTTCGAGCAAAAGTATTTTTTAAAAATCGTTCCACTTGTGTAGAAAATGGAAGACGGGTGTCATTCTTAAGAAAAAAATGTTTCTTATTATCGAGTAATTATTTAATATAGTTAGATCGGTTCTTTTATTTTACAAAAATCTCAGTGAGGATGTCAATATAAACGAGACTCAGAACTATTCAAATAATTATTTCAAACAATTTCTGAATAAAATAACATATAATATAAAATAATATTCCAAATAATATTATTCCTAAAATGAACACAGACATGGAAACA